GAAGGAATAACAGCGTGTGAAGAAGCATGGAACACTAGTAGTGAAAAAAATCCTCCAACTGAGTGCCTTGTTACACTTCTGAAACTAGTGCTGGAGAACAACAACTTCTCTTTCAATGACAAACACTATCTCCAAATAGATGGCACTTGTATGGGCACAAAAATGGCCCCGTCATATGCCAACATATTTATGGGCCAACTTGAAAAAACGCCTCTTGGCTAGTGCTCCATACCAGCCATTATCATGGTTTCGATTCATTGACGATATTGATTTTAAATGGACAAATTAGCAAGACCATCTTAATGAATTTCTAGAACACTTTAACTCTTTCCAACATTCAATAAAATTTACATACGAAACATCTATGGAGAAAATAAACTTCCTTGATACTACGAGTTACATCCAGAACGGAACCATTATAACGGACCTTCATACCTAAAAAACGGACAAACATCGATTCCTTTCTCCTAAAAGGTGCCATCCTAAACACTGCTCCCGTTGTATCCCATTCAGCCAGGCATTGCGAATCAAGAGAATATGCTCTACTGAAAATAAGCAAAATGCTAGACTTGGACAACTACGTCAACATCTAGTTGTTCGAGGATACAATAACACCATCATTGATACAGCTTTCGAAAGAGCAAACAAAACTAGTCGCCAAGAACTTCTAGAGTACAAGGATAAGAATAAAGAAGTCAACAGAACACCTCTTGTACTCACTTACCATCTTGATTTTAAAAATGTGTCATCCATTGTTCAGAAGCATTGGAAAATTATAGAAAATGACTCAAATCTAAAGAAAGTATTTTCCTCACCACCAGTCATGGCCTTCAGAAGACCTAAAAACATCCGTGACAAATTAGTGACATCTGTATTAGCAAAGCCGCCTACTCCACCTCCCGGTTGCTACAAACAATGTGGTCGAAGGAATTGCTTATGTTGTAAAGCTGCCAATACAAGCAGTTCTTTCATCAGCTCCGTTACTAAACAAAATTATACCATCTACTCAAATTCCATCTCTAAAACGGAGAACTCAATTTATATATTAACATGTAACACTTATGGCATTCAGTATGTGGGAGAAACAATGGATAAATTCAATATTCGGCTCAATAACCATCGTTCATGGTAAAAAACGAACAAAAAGCTGTCCTCTCACAAGACATCTTCGCTCAAAGAAACATCCTTTTGATAATGTTACTTTCCAAATCATAGAAGTCAACACCGAGTGGGACACCACGGCGAGAAGATGAAGAGAAAACTTTTGGATCCACCAGCTCCACGCTTTAGAACCGGATGGTCTTAACGAAAAGGAAGAAAAGAAATACAGGAAAGATAAAGAATAATTTAATACACAGCATCGTCTTTTTTATCCTGTAATATTGGCTAATAGACGTTGCAAACTTCAACCACAAATTTTGTATATAATCTTGAACTTCATCCACATCATGTATTATTTACAAGGCAGCTATATTCATGTGCAACATGTACATTGAGCTGCAAAAGTTTCTTATCATCTACATCCGATTTCACCTGGATAGATGCACGCTTGATTAAGCTAGTTTGTCTAGCGAAATATTGCGTTTATTTTTATTGTTTTGTAAATATTATAAACACGCTAATATTTACATACTAAATAGTGTGTTACAATTACATTGTTAGGCAATCTATAATTTTATTTGTGTAATTTTATTAATCTCTGTACTGATTAATCCACACTCCCATAGATTTGTATGTCATGTGTTATTATTTTTAGGCACACACATATATATATATATTTCGTTTGGGCTTGTATTATATTTGCCTTCGGGTTTATATGATCCGTTCATCCTATTTTGACTCCTCAAAATTCAAGAGTCTATCCTAAATTGAGGTAAATTGTATGGCTTTCCAAATACCGTTTGGATTTCTAACATCACTGAAGAGACATTAATTGTCGAAATCCGGATATGGTGTACAAAAACCTTTGCACCTTTTGTTTGCGGTATACCATCTTTTCCGCAAGTTTATTGTTTTCTGTTTAGTATTAAATTTATAATTAAGATCCATTTATTACATCGGTGATCCGTTTATTTGGCAATCACCAATGGCAGTCAGCAGTGTTTAAGAACATTTGTTGTTCGACCTATTAGTCAAATGCGTTTTGTTAAAATATACTTTTTCACTTTTTTGGTCTTTTTGAAAATGTTGTTTGTGCTGTTTTTAGACCCCTCTAAAAAGAAATTTGTTTTGCATGCACACGTATAGAAATTGCGGTTTTTATCCAACGCAATCATAGGTTTGAACGTTGTTTTCAATTTAGACTTGTATATATATATATATATATATATATAAAGAAAAGTCAAATAGAATCCGTATGCTGGTAAAATATAAGAAAAATAATATAAGATAATGACGGTTTCAATTCATCACTTTTACTAGCGCTTTCACTGCTTTCACAGATCTTCAGGTAATGTGACTTGTATACATAAATGTTATATATATATATATATATATAACGTCTAGATGTTAGTCAACGATTTTTCTTACGAGGGAGCTGAAACGTTACGAGTAACGATACCTGTACACAATAAAGAAATTATATAATCGCATTAAAGTGTACAAAACAACACCAATATTTAAAAAAAGGAAATATTGAATGTAAGTATCTAAAAATATTTCGGATAACAGATAGCCTTCATCACCAAAACACTGTATATACTTGTAAAAGGTTCTATTTGTGAAACTTCGAAAAATTGTGTAAGAATGTGTATTATTATTAACAAACTTTTAGTGATTTATTTATTGCTGGTTATTCATTTTACCAATATATCAGAAAATAAATACAAAATATCAAAACCAAAAATATCACTTATTATAGAATTGATAAAAAGTAAAAATTGTTTACCAGCTAGGCCAGTGCTCTAGAAAAATCACACAAAGCAATGACACTATTTAAAGTGTACGAAAAGTAACTTATCAGGACGAAATTACATAATTTTCTTAAAATTTCCCTGAATTAAGTGTGATAATAAAAATAACGATTATACTTGAACAGATTTTTTTTAACAATTCAAGTAATTTTAAAGTGTCAAAAGATTGCTAAGATTTTATCTTACTATGATTCTTATCTCATATTTGTCATACATTTGGCATACAGACCTTAAACTATTTATGTGCAATAACACATTGCTTTGTAATGTTGTATATTGTTATATAAAAGATATATTATCACTTTTCTTCCTGTATATATGTATTGTCAGATACAATTTGTTTGAGTTAAAAATTCACTATTTTAATGTTTCATTGTTATGGTCAGTCAATATGTCTTAATAAACTGGAGAAACAAATAAAGGTTTAAAACAAAATAAAATAATGTATATTTTTTTTCAAATTTGTGATAATTCAACAAAAAAAAAAACAGAAATACTTTATTTTTTTATTTTCATCATCTGGACAAAAGTCATCTGCTTTAAATATTCTGTCAACTATTTTTAACAAAATTTGATAGTTTTTTAATTGGCGAATTGTTTATATCCATTTACGTAAGTTCCCTTACGATTTATATAAATTTTAGATTTTACATTTCCGAGTGATGTGGTTTTATTCATTTAAAAAAAAGGGGGGGGGGTTCCAGTTTTCGGACAATAACTCAAGAATGCTTTGAGCAGTTTTCATGAAACTTTGGTGACTGGTTTATATCTATTGAAATAACCTCCCTTTAGTTTTTATAAATTTGACATTGAGAAGTTATGGAACTTTATTCATTGAAAAGGCGACGGGCATATCATGCGCTCATGGCACAGCTCTTCATTAACATTTACCCTGTATTTTTATGTAACTTTGTAATTTAATGAAATAGAGCAGCCCGCAACCCACAGCCTGCAACCCGCAGCCGGCAGCCCGCAAAACAGTGATACTGTCATTTGGGATGTATAAATACGCAGCCACGGTGAATTACTAAACCTTTGAAAAATTTCAAAATTATCAAACTGCTATTTATTTGGAATGTGTAAATACGCAGCTTCTGTTGTAATTACTTTACCTTCGTCAAATTTGAAATGTGAGTAATTTACCAGTTCAAATCGGTCGGTGCTATTCATTGGTAATGTATTTCTATGCAGTCGTTGTTCTAATAACTCAACTTTTGTCACCTGTGAAATTAAAGAAATGTACCAGCACATATCGCATATCAATATTTTTGTTAGAAGCATATCTATGCAGTCTGTTGTAAATACCTAACCTACGTCATTTTTGAAATTTTAGAATTGTACAAGCGTTGTTTGGTTTTAATTGTATATATATATAAATTTAAAGATTGTTAGAATTAAATCAGAATAGATAGATATCATTCATTTTACATCATAATCATACTGATGTAGGATATCTGTTATCCGAAATATTTTTAAATAGATATTTACATTTGAAGTTTCTTTTTATAATATTGGTGTTGTTTTGTACACTTTTTATGCGTTTATATATATATACAGCAACAGCAACAACACTTTCACAGGTCATGATAATGATTGATTTTAACAGACATGATATCAATTGAATCATCATACAGAATACCTATATCAAACTAACTTGCAAATGGTTTTCAAAACATGTTATTTTACGTGTTTGTGTGTATATTTGAAAAGATGAGACTTAATTAATCCAGCAGTCTGATGACCAGAGAAAATAGTTGAGACGTGTAAATGTAAGGTACGCGGTTTCTCACATACATAATTATAACACTATTAATTTATGTTCGTCTTTTTCCATTAAAAACAGTTGAAATTTTCACTGTATAACGATATAGAAATTTCAACGACGATCTCCATTAAGATCATTTTAGGAGTTTGTTGTGTGCTTTAAAATAGAATGTGAATCAAATGTCAATGTGAAGTGTCAAAATGTACACGACAATAAGAAAACATATAACAAAATTAATCTCAAGGTGAACTTGTGGTTTATACATTTTGTTGGTTTCAAGGTATATATTTTCTGGTTAATGTACATTATATATGCATATTTAGAAGGACAGTGGACAAAATACCAAGACCATTGTTACCACTTTTCTCAAGACAGTGCACCCTGGTATAAAGCCGAGGTAACATATTAATATTTAACATTCAAATAACGCAACTATAGACATAAACTGACAATTGAGAGTCAAGAGTGTACAGTTGAGACATTTAAATAAAGGATAATCTCAAAAGTATGTATTCAGTTATAATAGATTTATTCACACGAATGGGTTTTCTTACATTTCTTCCAAGAAATATTAAAACATTTTGAGTGAATTTATTTCAACCTTATCTAACATGATTATTGTTTGGTTGGTTGATACATTGGTTGCATAACTTCAAGTGACAAATTCTTCATAAAGAATGCTCTGTTGGTAGAGGTTTGTTGATTGATTGACATTTTGCAAACTGTCAGATTTGACGAATTTCACATTTATTAATCGATTGATTGGCTTGCATTATGCTTGATTGAATGATTTATTGATTTAACGTAAATGAAAGAGACGCATATTTCATATTGATTAATTCTTTGATTGAATGTTACTGTAACATCCAGTGAAAACTATAAAACGCAAATTATTTCCTCTTGGAATGATAAATACACCGTCCTCCAAAACAAAAAGCAGATTAGTGACCATTTCCTCGATGAAAAAAAAGTCCATGGACTAGGTCCCTAGGAGCATGCGGAACAGAAATGTTGGACCTAGATCCCCTTCAATTACATGTTTTCGGGTCAGTGCAATATGTTTTTCTTATCTCATTTAAATCATGGTATTTCTAGAAACATTCAGGATGTTACACCTCTCTCCCTACCTTTCCCCTTACAAAACTTATCCTTGCATTTTTCTTATAGATTTCAATGGGACCCTGCGAGGTTTAACACTCCCTCAACAAATATCCTTGAATCTTCCTTTCTTAATGTCATTTTTTCTAAGGATTCTCGGAATTAAAGTTTTACTTTATTGTTGTGTGTGCGACAGTGTACTGTGGATTTATTAATATTTGTGTGATAACAATTTTGATGGATTTCGTAAGTTAAGGTAAACCTCGAATATCAATACTCACCAAAGTAGGAATTTACTTTAAAGACCAAACAGCCTATTCAGTTCTACCAGTGATTTTTCCTTAAAATTTTGTGTGAAGGTATTTCATGATTTGAGGAACAAAATATGATAAAAAAAATTGGGGGTCGCCGACTTAGTTTTGTCACTATAGCAACCTCAGTTTCGTGTTTTCCCGAATATTAACATGATATTTGCTTGTTATTTAAACTCTCAAAAAATCCCATTATATCAAACCTACAAGCATAATTCTTGTTTCATGTTAAAGAGTAGATTTGTGTCTATCAAATACAGGTTCAAGAGTTTAAGACTCTTATTGTTTTGATCTTAAAAAATATGATTTATTTCATTCCCGCCAAAAATAAAACGCAAGAATGAAAAACGTTTTAAGTATTAAAAAATATCTACCAGTGATTTTTTCATAAAAAAATCAAGAAGCAAAATGCCATGTGTACTCTTCAAAATAAAGCAAAAAAATATATATGTCACCGACCTTTCAAAAAAGTTATGATTAATTTTCATGTTTTTTTCTCGTTCGTTTTGAAGAAAAGAGTTGTCTTTCTTCAGAACATTGAATCTGACGTCATAGTACAAGTTTTCCTTGCTGGCGCACTATTTGAAAAAAATTGCAAATTGGACGTTTGAAATCCACATTTAAATTTTCAAGAATCTAATAGAACAACTATATTAACCTACTTTATTATGCAGTAATACAAGAGATCACATGTATGTATCAGTATCAGATCTCATGATGTTGTTGCCGCACAAAATTAACCTTCAGAAACACCTTCCGTCGGAATGAAAAATTGTTCGAAATAACCTTTTACGACGCTTTAGAAAGGAAAGTCTGTTTTTGTCCTCTCCCTCTTATAAGCAAAATCATTGAAAACAAAAAGAGAAATGAAAGTTGACACTGGTTAAGTTACCTTAAAGACTATTTGACTATATAAAACTAGATGTGTGGGGTTTTTTGTCGCGTCAATTTCAGAACTTTGCCCTAGCGCACTCTTTCGCTACTGTTGACAGACGGACAAACATTAGCACGGACGGACTTCTTTATACCATTATGTGTCCCGACTAGGACGAACGTATACAAATTATTCCATCTAGTGTGTGTATTCATTATTTCTGGATATTTAAAATATAAGAAAATTAAAATTATAGGTATAATATATGAATTAAAGTTTTTGATCCTAAAACGTTTTACATCCATTTAACCTATCATAAAATACAATCCCCGTTATAATACCTCACGTGTTTTGAATAAACGAGACAATAAATACAAAATACAAATAAGTTTTTAATGCAAACATTGATTTAGAATCTAAGAAATAATTTTCCGTTGAAAACTATAAAGTATTTCTCAAAACAGGTTGAAATATTATGAATCTAAATAGCTCATTTTTGGAAATTAAAACAAAGACAAGGTATGTATAGATTGCCGGCATTGAAAATCGAAATTTGTTTCCAATCTTTCCGGTCATTGTAGCTTTTTGAAAGTGAGAAATTTTATGTTGGATCTTATTCTTGAAGCAATTGTTTTTGTCATAAGTTAAATTTACAACGTTGCCAGTATATCGAAACTTCTAGAAAGTATTGTTTAACGGCCTAACCTTCTGAAAACTCAATTTTGAAAATTACGTATTAAGTTAAAATTCTAAGCGTAAGTCATATAAATTTACCAGTGTAAAGTTACACGGGCGTACGAGATTTGCTCCGATTTAAAAAAAATTTCGATTTTTAATTTGCTCCGATTTGATTCTTTCATTAGCGCCTATTTTATTTTTTTATCACTAGCCCCGATACTATATTTGCTATACGAGTAAATACATGTACATGAAGTAAACCTAGAATGTATATTGCATGGTAATATAAGGATATAAACAGTGTTCCCTTATGTTTAAGATAATTTTGGTCATATTGTTCGAGAACTTGGTATTGACACGAGAAAGAAAAGATGGACTTCGTTGTTGGCAAGTACAACAAGTATAGAAAAGATGAAATGACAAGAAAGGAATATATCAGATGTGTGGCATATAAATTCTCGACAAGATAATAATTCATTGTACTAGTATTTCGATTTTATTGTGGTGCTTTGAAATGCTGTAAAAAGAAATTTTACTCCGTGATTTTAGTGGATGTAAACAGAGTGCACAAATATCTTTTAAATTGACTTATCCTGCTCGAAATTCTACTCCCACCTCCCCTTTGTGAGCAGGGGACAATAGTTATATACATGTTGTAATTGACAATTCATAACATATGTACAACAGGCTAACGGAAGAGGTTTATATGATAAATAAAAAAATAACTTTCACCTATAATTTACCTGTACACAATCGGCGCAAATGAAAGACAAAATCGGCGAAAGTGAAAGAAAAAAAGTGAAATGCAGATCGGCGAAAATGCAAAAAGCCGAGTTCAAAATTTATATTTTTATTATTATTTTTATTAGAACGGAGGTTACAGATAGTGTAGTATCTTTTGTGTCCATTTGTGTTTAATTTCCACTAGGTATCAGCGCGACGCTTAATTCCACTTTTCTTGGAAGACGTAGTTTTAAGCGTACACCATGTTGGAATCCGTGAAAAACGCGAAATAGGACGTTATAATTTGACGTATTTTTCATGGCTAGAAACAACGTCATAGAGCTTTTATGTCACTACCAAGTTGCGTTAGTTGATGCGCAGCAACAATAGGCTGTTTGGTCTTTAAGCTTATATGCAGACATTATGGGCAAACATAAAGGAAATAGTAGTATACAGTTGTTCAATAGTCTTTAATCGGTTTAACTGAAACAAATCCGGGTCACAAACCAAAACTGAGGGAAACACATCAACTATAAGAGGCAAAAAAAAACAGAACAACAGAAACACTGAACTGCTACAAAAACAAACGCCAACATATATAGAAACGGACTATTTGATAACAACTGCCATATTCCTGACTTGGTACAGGACATTTTAAGAAAAAAAATGTGGGTTGAACCTGGTTTTATGGCTAGCCAAACCTCCCGCTTATATGGCAACCACAAAATCAAATATCTACGAAAACACGATTTTTCAATAATCCACGAAAATTGGTACCCATGAAAATAAATGAATCCACAGTATGTTGTTTTCATTGTCATTAAAATCGGACGTCGATCTTAACTTGTAGCTTTTGTCGTTTTACATTTCTTCCTGAGTCTGAAAATTCCTTAGTATTTCCTTTTCTTATCTTCCTAGAGACCTGTCCAAGTGTAATTAATTGAGGAAGTGGTCCCCGTCGTATTACTTTTGAAGGAGGACTAGGGGCATTTAACCAGTGTATCTGATTACAGAATGTTCGTTAAATATTCGTCACTGGACGTCAAACAATCAATCAACGAATTAGTCAATATGAAATATGCATATCTTCAGTTAGGCAAATTGTCAACCAATCAATCATTAAATCTTTCCATCAATTAATCAAACATTCTACCAATCAATCAATACACCATCCAACCAATCGATATGAAGAATTTGTCACTTGATACAAATATAAATTTCAACTATAATCAACCAAGCAATCAACAAAAAGGCATGCTTAACTTAGGAAATATGGAATATGAACTTCATTGACAGTTTTTTGCTTAAAGAATTGTTTTATATTTATTGTTAGCTATGTATGTACCGACTAATTCAATATTGAAATTCATACTTTTCAGATGATCCTTTATTTAGATGTCTCAACTCCAGACTCTCGATTGTCAATTGTTAATTACATTTATCTAACATGTCTATAAATAGATATAACTACAAAAGAGGGACGAAAGATACCAGAGGGACAGTCAAACTCATAGATCGAAAACAAACTGACAACGCCATGGCCATAAATAAAAAGACAAACAGACAAAAAATAATACAGATGACACAACATAGAAAACTAAAGACTAAGCAACACGAACCCCACCAAAAACTCGGGGTGATTTCAGGTGCTCCGGAAGGGTAAGCAGACCCTGCTCCACATGTGGCACCCGTATGTTGCTTATGTTATTACAA